TGGTGCGCGGTTTCCGAAAAATATCGTTGATGGAATTATTAAATCGCGCCCTGTGTATGGCTCATGGGCGGCCAGAGGAACACAGAAAATTGATGGCGTTTACTTAATTATCAGCTTAGTATTGATTACCTTGCTCCGAATAAGTAGCATTACTGTTGCATTACTCATTAGAAGTAGCAAAATGTTCTATTGCAACAATAAAAAGAAGTCGGCCATATTGAATATTACATACAAAATTTCCCCTAAACACTGTAAATTATAATTTTTTCCTAGAAGTAGGTTTTTTACAATTCTATAAATAATTAATATATTTAAAGATGTATGTATGTATGAACATACATAGTATATCTAGAAGAAACTAGCAAAAAAGTTTATGTACGACAGTATGAACAAAATTACATTTAAATAACGCGTAGTTTTTCAAGCACAGTAGTGAAAGCACATTTTGTATAAATTGAATTGATTAATAATGAATTAAATTAAACCACTAGTTTTAATGACATCATCAACTGGAACTAAAATCACAAAAATCTCCTGAGTGAGCTTCCTGTTTTTTTTCGATCGGTACAATAACCACAAAGATTACACTTATCATCATCGTACACCCACCTGTTTTTTTTTTATTTGTATACGCTAGTATTTATGATTTGTTTTCTGGTTAAACAATCGACAATTGTATTTGCTTAGGTATCTAAAATTTTTCCGTACAGAGAAAGTCAGCTGCTTGATGTACGTACGTATGAATGTATGTATGTGCTTACACTGGTATGCATGTGTGGTATGCATGTGTGTTGAGCGTCATTGTACATTCCGTGAGATGCTACATAAACTGAGATTTTTTGATTTTTCTTAATATTGAAATACCTAGGAACTTTTCAGCTTAAATGGTTTATTTATTATATACATAAATAATCATATAAGTACCTCGGAAATTCTTTGTTTTATATATTAAGGTTTTATGGGTAGCCAAATTTACACAATATGAATCACGCTATTATGTTCTTATACACTTGCATTCCCTTCATTTTTGTGGATGTCAGAAATGCCAGATTTATTTCTCATCCGGAAATAGAAACAAAGTCCAGTTTTGCCTGTATTTACTCACTTCCTGTGCAACTCAATTGAAATGGCAACACTTTCCGTTTGGCATAGACCATCTTCTTCAAGATCAGAAAAAAAACATCATTTTATATTTAACTCAGCCAGTCCATTTAATGTAAAAGTTGTATGTATGTATGTATATGATATTTCTGTTTAAAATGTTATGAGTATAGTTTAATATTAATTTAAGTTTAATTGTATGAAATCAAATATATATATATATATATCTTACAAGAACAAATTTTAATTTAATGTACATAAACAAGTTATGAAGTTATTCTTTATCGTTAATTACATAATAATAGATTGTTAAATGTGTAAATTGTCACTATATTCTTTCCTAATCCTGTGGTTCTCAAAGAGGACTGGCGTCGGATTCGTCACGTTCGTGAATTGCAGTTATGCTCTGTTGTAAGGCATTTGGTGTTAGCCATTCTCTAAAATGATAAAAATTTACAATCGTTAACCGTAGTAAATTGCTCGATGCAATATTTGTTCAATATTACTTTGGCAAGCATCTTTGAAGAAATGGCACACAGGAGCTAAAATGCGCTAGGCGGTTTACCCAGCTTGGGATTTCTTGGCCACAAAGAATCTGAAAATTTATAATTACATACCACATTAGTAGATTTACATGCGTATACATACCTGTGTTAGAGAGCTGGAAAAATGGTTGCAGTTATTGTTCATCAAATGGTATCGATCGCCACGGAATTGATTTCCCAACTCGTCCACAATGCGTCGAATTTCTTCGTAAGTAAAATCAGTGCAGCCGATTTGTATACTTTGCCTAAACTGAAACTGCTCTCCCAATTCATCATGATCACGAGGTGTTATTTCGAAAACACCAGTAAACGGGAAAGGATGTCCTCCATATGCAAATTCTGTACCAAATATTTCAACGCCGGAATGAAAAACACCTAAACCTATCGATGTAGTATATTCATTTATCCAATACTGAAAAAATATATATATTTAAAACTTTTCGTCTGTTTATATAGGTATATAAATTGAAATTTACCATGTCATAGACATTTAAAATAACTGGTTCACGATTACTCATGGTTGTTGGTAGTAATTCGTCGCTCCCACTGTCTTTAGGTACGCCAAGGCAACTGGGAAATGACAAATTGCAAGGTAGGCCGTTCGAAAACATTATATATTAAAAACTCCGATGTTAGAATAATATCAATAGGGATGAAATAAAAATTCTTCAATTAATATTCCAATAACGAGGCAATTTTTTTTTGTTTTTGTTATGAGCAAAACAATCAAGCATTTAACTATAAAACTCGCTTGTATGTTGTTGTTTAGTATGTATGTATGTTCGTTTTCGAGGGGGCACTACTATTTAGATAAAGCTTTTGTGGAGGAAGACTACGAAAATTATCAGATGGTGATGATTCCTGTGAATAAAAATTATCTGATATTAAAAAAGTAAATAAAACTTACATATGAAAGTGTGTATATGAATTCAATGAGAATATTTAATAAAATTCAAGATAATAGTGAACAACTATGTATACATTTATAATTTTTTTATTTTGACCTTTTTTTTTAATATGTATACCACAACCCATAACCCTTATCATTTTTATATGTCTCAGACGATAAACAAATCACACCAATAAGTTTTTCTAAATCATTAACAAAAGATCTTCAATACAATCTACGTATATACGTATGTATCAATGTAAGAAGTCAAAACAAGTGTATCGCACAGTGTGAACCACATTTCGGAACAATCTAAATAAATGTGCAGCCACCTAAGCTTCGCCATATCAACGCTTTTGGAAATATGTATAAATGCGCTTCTTAGAGTGTCCTGCTATTACAAAACAACCTATATATTCTAAACCCAATCAATTTTGAAAAGATTATGTCAACTCCATAGCAGGGTGCCACCTTCTTCATACCAAATTCTGCTCGCATGTACATACATACATATATATCGTCGTTTAAAGTGCAAACCGCGTATCAGCAAAATGCAAAACCGCGTATGTAAAGTTGTAGAAATTATTTTCTAGAGCGTAAAAACACTCGATATTTCAAAATGGGTCTCCCTTTTATAAAGCAATCGCAATTCTGGCGGGTATATGTCAGGACGAATGGATAAGGATTGAGCCAAGAGCTCACATGCAATTGCAATTGTGCCAAGAGCTCTTGGCTCAATCGTTATCCATTCGTCCTGAAATATACTAGCCAGAAATGAGTTTCCATTATAAGAAAGAGAACCATTTTGAAATATGAGTGTTTTTACGCTCTGGAAAATAATTTGTACAGGTTCGCATACGCGGTTTTGCATTTTGTTGATATGCGGTTTTGCATTTTGTTGATATGCGGTTTTGCACTTTAAACGACGATGTTTCCTCACTTAAATATGTACATAGGTATGAACATACATATGCATATGTATATACTGCACTAAGTAGTGCAACTGCACTGCTTGATTTGTAATCATAGTTTCTAGTTGTAGTCCTAAGATCTAATCACTAAAAGGTTAATATTCGACTTATTTGATATACATACATACCAAAGAATGGCCGAGTTTCTTGAATACTTTGAGATCTCCTCGTAGGTATCCTAACGCATACAAACGGGCGAAGGCAATACGCCTGGAACATGTTTCTATCCGCAAACCAAATTACTCCTCCTCTAGTAGCGTGTTAATTTAACATTTATTAAATCAATAATTGATAACTGTTTCGAATTAAATAATGTGAATAAATATGCCATCCAAATTTTTCTCTGCAATACTTTTAGCGTCTTATATCAAAGTTGATTATCGTCCAGGTACGAATGAGAATTGAAACAATTTTTTTGGTTACTTGGTTGCCAACTCACAAAATAAATCACATAAGGAAAGTTGCCAGATTTGAAATAGACTTCTTTTGCGAATAGTAATAAAATACAAGATTATCTCTTAATCCAGTTTAATACCTAGTACCTATAATAGTATGTTGAAATCGACTTTCTCAACCACATCGTCTATCTATTAATGGGAATGGGTATTAACTCTTCGACTCATTTTAGTTTAGATTAGGATTAGTTCGAGATTCACGAATCTTCTATAATCACATGCAATTGTCCCAAAATTTATATTTAAGAAAACAGTTTTGTTGGGATTTCTTTTATTTTAATATCCAACATCGCGTACATTACAGTGGTTAAGTAATTTAAATTCTTCAGTCGCGTTTATTTAATCAATAGACTTCATTTTGCACAAGTAAGCTGTTGGTAGCAATTTCATCTCGTCATTTATATGACAAAAAACGGTATCCTTATCCGAAATAGATCTAACCTTTCCCACCGATTCTCTTTCATCTCCATAAATAACTTTGAATTCGTCGCCAACTTCTGGTGGTACCGGTGCCAAATGTTCACTTACAATAGACACGCTGCGATCCTCCTGACGCAAGAAAACAGAGCACACTCCGTTCGAAACTGTACGAATAATGCCCGTTTGTCCAACCAGATCAGCATCGTCATGCGTATGAATTTTAACTTCAATGTCGGTTGTGCACCAATCGCCTATTGGCGAGTCCAAGCTTGCTCCCGGAGTTTGTGGATTATATGGCGACTGCGGGTTACCGCCTGGTGTATTTGGGGAATAGTTCGATGGAGATGGTGTATTCATATAACCAACTGGATACGGTGATGGTGCCGGACTGGGGCTTGGATTAAAGGGACTGTAACTACGATCCGATCCGTATAAAGTTCCAGGCGTTTGTGGTGCGAATTGGGTATTCATTTGATAGCCTGGTGTACCTAATATGCACAAAATCAATTGTTTAATATGCTTTATAGTTTCAAGAGATATATATATATATATATAATCTTACTTGGGTTGTAGCCAGGACTTGGGCTAGGTTCTTCCAAAGTGTAATCAAAATCGTTAGTGCGTGCCGGAGTATTTGCTATGCTTGGATCCCAAGCTCCATGACGTGGAGTCATGCTACCATCATGCGACGGTGTCATTGTACCACTGTAAGGTGTACGACCTTCTGAATCCCAATTGGGAGTTTGATTTCCAAGCAGCGGTGTCTTCGAACCCACTGCTGCATACACTGGTGTCTGAGAGCCATATCCAGGTGTACGTGCTGGAGTACGACCATAAGTCGATACACTTCCACCTTCCTTTCCAGGTACTCCTACCATAGCAATGTGATTGCGATCAACTGATATAGTTTGGCACGAAGTATGCAGTTCAACACGTGCTGTACTCTCCGTAGCGTCCTTAACAATACCGACAACGCCTAAAGAAATATTTTGATTAAACGAAAGGTTTATTACTAGCAAAAACCATTCACTTACCTTTATACGGCCCGCCGCTAATCTTAATAGTTTTTCCTAAAATTTCCCGATCGCGAGTTACACGGAAACCGCCGCGGCCTCCCCTTCCACCCGCACGAGCTCCACGTCCTCCAGAAGGATGCATAGGCGATTGTATGCGTGGCGACATAAACCCGAAGCCACCAAGTGTGCCAGCATTATTTGCCTGACTCTTACTTCCACCTGCCAACTGCAAATGACGAGTTTTACAAACAAATATGCCACCATTCTCCGTGTACATCCGGCAGTGCAGGAAAGCTAAACTGCGATAAAGATGTTTGATTTCTCCAGATCGACCCTAAAACGCTTATAATGTCAATCATTACATTCTCTATCCTTAATTGTTTTTATCTTACGGCGTGTGGTCCTTCCATTACTTTAACTATATCGCGTCGTCTTATTTGATTTTGATCTGCATCCAGAGCTATTGTATTACGGTTTTCTCGCCGCTTATGTAGCGCAGTCGGCTTACATTCAATAACTTTGCCATGCATACCCAAAACATGGAAATTCTCTCGTTCCAAACGCACAATGACTCCAACATTTTGGGGACTGAAACGTATAAATTTTGATTTTATTGGTAAATCTAAGAAATGGGTCGAGTAATAAACTTACTCAAGTTGCACCAAATCGCCCCATTGAAATTGTCCCAAGCAATCGACGCCTGTGGCCACATCAGAACAAAGCTGCAAATCACGGGGCAATACTTCCAATTCATGATTTGTTAAATCTGATACCAATACAATGCGCATTGGTTCCACACGTATAATTAAACCAGTTTCTCCTTCATAACGTCCCGCTAAAACTCTGGCGTGATCACCAGTTTTGAAAAATTTACGCAATTCACTGGCTTTAAATATCAGGGGATCCTACAAACAAAAAATATATTCACTTTATTACGGTATGCCGCTTTCGATTTTTTAGAAAAATGTATCTTACCTTAAGGTCTTGATGTTTCGGCATTACAGTTATCATGCCACCATCTATTGCAATAATTTTTGCTTGTAAATTTTCCAAGTCACCCACGCAAACCTCCACGTTATCGCCCATTGAGAAGGAATGTGTGCTTGTTGGGTCATCCTTCGAACCGGCAACGATCTCCAAATTAACATCTAAGAAATAGTTCAGTATTTAATTTAGCACGATTTCTGCAGCTAGGGTATATAATAAACTTGTCAAGTAATTAATTAATTAATAACCTTCTGGTTGCTCTTCAAAACGTTCTAATTCTGCTAACGTAGGCTTCACACCATCAACCAAAATTGCAGACATTGTAAAGTTTTTATACAAAAATCCTTTCCGCGAATAACGATTACCCTCAAAAAGCAAAAAGTCACCGTCTGAATGAACTTCACCACCAATAGCCCTGCAAATAAAAAATATATATAATCAGCTGTAGTTTTAAAGCACTTATTGCTTTTCTAATTGAATATTACCTAACGGCCTCCGGATCGAAAGGCTTTGCTGTCGGTCTACGTTTCTTTCTGCGTTTAGAATCATCAGATTCCTAAAAATTTAATCACGATTATAAGGCACGTCAAGTTAAAAATAAATATATTTTCTTACCGTTGCTGTAGTTCTTAGAGCACCACGCATGCGCGTATAATCAATTCTGGGTAACAGTTTTAAATGCACTTGGTTTTGTGCCAGATCCACATAATCAACTTGAGCAATATCGTCCTTATAAAGACCACGTTTTAACCGCACCCACTGCTTTACTTTTAATCCAACCTGCTCCTTCACAACTTTTAATACATCTGTCATTTCTTTGATGGGTACCATCTCCTGTTTCCATTTGCCCATCCGTAAGTTACCAACATTGTCTATAGCCGTTTTTACGTGCGTTTGTTTGTAAGACTCCAGATAAATATAACCTTTAACTCCCTCGGGAGCCACAACAGATTTAATTTGCAAGGGCTCGTCAGTATTTAAATAAGTCAAAAACTTTCGCATTAATAGAAGTGCAGTGGCTTTTTCTTCACCAATGCGGCACTTCACCATCCATAGATTAGGGTCCCTATAAGCAGTAAATAATGGAATAAACTTTTTCTTTTGATACAATTTTTTTAATACTTAATGCCCGGTAACAGAGTCTGCTGAGTGATTTCATCCGACATTTCTTCGCCACCATCTCCAAAATGTCTTTTGACGACAGATTCATCAGCATATTTCTTTCGTAAATATTCTTCGATTTCATCTTCTTTTTGAGTGCTGCAAATAAAAAGGTTAGACCGGCGTAGTTTTACATACTAATTTACTAAAAGCTATTTATCTTACTCCCATAAATTAGTGCCACGACGTCGGATTTCTATATCGCGTGCTGTAGGGCCTAACTCATCAATCTCGTTACCCACAATTCCAAGTTCATTAGCTCCTTCTTCCCATTCATCGTCTTCATCGACCTATGGATATATAACATTTTCTTACAATTTTTTTTTACGAATCTAAGGATTCATGTACCTCGTCGTCAACTTCGGCTTCGTCTATAATGAACCCTCCAAAGCGTTCTTTCTTCTTCTTCTTCCTTGGGCGATCATCGTCTTCATCTTCTTCTTCGTCATACTCAGAATCAACTTCATCGCCATCAAGATCTTCACCATCCTCAGGTTCTTCATCACCGGACCGGCTGCGACTTTTACGCTGTCTATTACGAGAGGGGCTCTCATCTTCTGAACCCGAACCGTCTGAACGAGAATGCGACCGAGATCTAGATGGCGATTTAGACCGAGAACCAGAACGCGACCTGTAAACTGAACGTGAACGTGAGCGCGAACGGGCACTTCTTTGCGATTTGTTGGAACTCAATGATCCCTCATCCGATCCGGTGTCAGAAGCATTACTTGCTTCGGAATCCGACATAGTAAAATAAAAGCCAGACTATTTTTTCTGAAACACTTGCCAACCACGAAAGTTTTCACAAGAAAACAGGGGTTTTATCTTTACCGAAAAACTTGAAACGACATGAAATGAAATGAAGTTGAATTACAGAGTGACACAAATGCAAAATTCTGTTGCTTATATCAATACTGACAAATAAAAGAACCTACTACAGATAACGGCCCGTCTCCATAGAAAAAGTTTTTGCCTACCAACTGTCATTTTTATTGCCCGATATAAATTTTATCAGAGGCAATACATGAACGAAAGACATAAGATCTCGTAAGAACAAGAGAGTGAAAAAAGTCGATCACGTAAGAACGGGACGTTGTATTTGTAACTTGTTTTGAGAAAAAAAGTTTTGCGAAAGCGAGCTCGTCAGCTGAGCGTTTGTTTACATCACAAGCACCACTATTTTAGAGTTTTATTCAAGTAAAGAAGAGTTAATTCAACATGACAACACATTTTATAGCATTTTGTTGCATCATTTTACCTAAATTGTGCGTTTAAAGTGTCTGACAATAATTTTGGCTAATTTTGGTTTTCGTTGTTTTCTTTGCTTTGTTTACTTTTCGCTCGTTTTCCAGTGAAACAAGATGGCGTAGAACCCGCTAAAAAATCGACTTTTTTCACTCTCTTGTTCTTACGTGATCTCATGAACCAAAAATACAAGATCACGCCTTCTTCTTAGTAGCCCGTTATAATCGTATTTAGGAAAAAAGTTGAGCGACTTTGACATTAGCCGTTTGTTTACATTTGTTCGTTGTTTACAATTTGGTGGTGGCTTTTTACTGCAATTTTCTTAATTTTCGCTTGTGACAACGTGTGTCCACATAAGGTAAAGAATAATTTAACACAACGACATGATTTATAGAAGAATTTGCATAATAAAAATGATTATTCATGCGTTCAACAATTACGCGTTTTTTTTGTGCTCTTCGTTGTTTACTTCTTACAACAAAGATGGCGTCGAGATTACAACAGCTAGAAAATAACCTTTTTCTTTCTTTCGGGAAGGCGTGATCTTGTGTCTTTCGTTCATGACGTGATCTTGTGTCTTTCGTTCATGATACACAAGTATTTCACCTCTGTGCGATAAATAGTTGCGTTCCCCAACTTTTCAGGGTCAAAGCTGCAAAACTGTGAAAAAGAAGCCACAGAACCGAGAACGGGAACGCTTTCTAGTAAGTTCCTGTAAATTCTTGCAACTTCTTGCGAGTTAGAGAACGCAGCCTATTTATTTCTCTATTCTTTTTTTTTTTGTTTTTTCTTTTATGTGTTTTTCTTTTTGGGTTTCCCAACTGCAATGAGTGACTATTTAACGACTACTACTTAATCTTAATTTTATTTAATTTTTATTAGTTATTTTATTTTTAAATTTAAGATAACTGTTTGTATTTAAATTTATTGCAATTATAGGTGCAATCCCGTATTCCTCGGACTCGGACTAGCAAAACTGTCAAAAAATAAAAACTTCGCTCAGAGCGAGAGAGTAACATTGAAAAGTACTGTATCGCTTTCTAGTAAAAATGGTAACTTCTGTCAACTTCAACATAACCTCCAAATTTTGGTTGTAAATTTTTGCATATTTTGTATGTAAGCACACTCAGATCACACATGTAAATAACCAAAAATACTTTCAAATTCATTAGAATCCACTTAAACAAGTAATTAAATACTTTTAAACATGAATCAGCAGAGTGCACTTTTCTTTTGTTTACAATTTGGTTGCCAAACACACTACAGCTGATCGGGTGACACATTTACCAGAATTAACAGCAAAAAATTCTCGGACTAAAACTGGTAACAAGGTGTATTAAACAAGGTGGTGTTGGGGCGACAGCTGAGTTTTTCGCCGTGGAGGCCATTACGTCAAAATGGTGTGTTTGTTGTAACTCATACCAATGACAGTATGGACATCAGCGTATAATTTGTTAGTGTAATTTTTTACTTATATACGGCCAACACCACCTTGTTAAATACGCCTTGACTGGTAACTTCTGACAGAGAGAGAATCGTATTTACTCTCTTTTTTGTCCTCTCAATAGTCAGAGAGCCGAGTACGGGAATGATTTCCAGTAAAATCTGACTGATTCTGACTAGTCCGGACTCGTACGGGATCGCAACTTATATTTTTACGTTAGAGTTAAGATAAGTATGTATCAGACGATTTTGCGTTTTAATTTTGTAATTGAAAGCTATTGATGTACTAAAAAAGACTGAGTCTTACAGGTACAACCTCATTTCTTAAATAAAATAAATAAATAAATTCTCCGAAAATAAGTTACTGATAGTTGCTGGCAAGTTACTGGATAATTTGGAAACAAACATAACTAATGGCTCTGATCCAATACTTTTCGTGTAAAATCCTGTAAAAATGTCAAACAGAAAAATTTCTCTCTGAAGTGAGAGTGCAAAGTGAGTGACAACCAAAAAGTACGGAAATAAATTATTTTTTCTGTAAAACCGGCAAACAGCCGATCGCTTCACACTTTTCGTAATTTTACCAGAAGAAGAGTTTACAGGATTTTGGAGTACGGGAACATTTTTCCTGTAACTTCCTGCAAGTTCGTTTAAAAACCTGTAAGTTCATGGAGTACTGGATCAGAGCTAATGTTACATTACACCAGGATAAAACATTTTGAATTTGGAATTGATTGATTTTTACTTGGATTCTCCATTCTGGTAACCAATCTGAAAATGGAATATTCTACATTCACCGATGAACAGCCGAAGATAAGGTTTGGGACATTTTTTATTCAGAAATAAAGTTAATTTTAGTATTACTTCAGCATTATGTTACACTTTATTTTTAACGCTTCTTGCGTGATAAACTTATAATTCAAGTTCAAACATTATTCCAATTGCTCGAGTTGAATATATGGCCCTCCAAAGAAAATAATGATAACTACTAAAATAATGATAACTACTATAAACTTATATGTACATAATAAAAAATCGTATGAATGATTGCGCAAAACATTGTCGAAATATCAATATAAATATGCATGTATCTATGAACCGCATTTTAATTTTAGTGAAACTGTAACGGTTAGTTGTAATCCAACCAATTATTACGAAAAGCAAATAGGTTTAAAATTATTTTGCCAATTACTGCATCAATTTGAAAGGCATTACGTTTTTCGCCGAAAGGGGGCATACAAATGTTTTGCTTCAAGCAAATTTTCCTAGAGTAAAAGAAAAAAATTATGATTAAAATAATCCGATTGGGTTTTCACGGTCTCTACTTACAGTACTTCGCTGATAGGTATTTTGTTTTTGAAATATTCCTGCAATCGGAATGTTCCGAATATTCTTGTAGCCACAGCTATCATACAAAACTGATCGGGATTCTTGTTGTACAAGATTACAAATGTTAGTTTGTCATGCCTTAAACACGGCTCAATGACTTTTGAAACGGCTTCACGTAGCCAATCTTGTGGATATTTCCGAAATACTGAATCCGTTTGCGATATGTATACAGCAAAGAATTGCTTTTCCAAACAAATGAACTTATAATCCTGTTTGCCATTCGATACGTAACTTTTCTTTAACTCGACTCGCTTCGAAATATGATCTTTAGAAATCATGTGGAAAGAATGTACAGATTTCTCTTCACTCCAACTAATAACAGCATTAAATGACGTGATAAATTTGTTTGGCACTGCCTTGGGACGCAACCCAATGTTAAGTGGTTTAACAAAACCACATGCCTGATCTTCAATAGCAAATATCCGTTCAAATGTATCAAATAAACGGGAAACTGCAGACAGATATGTGTTGGTGCGACGCCACTTGTCTATACTGCCACAATTCTGCAAGAAATTCATATATGCACTGTAGAAGTATTGCCTTGTTTTTAAAAGCAATTGGGCACTTGTGTGTTCCATTTTAATTTCAATCCAATCATCAATATAAAATATAGACATTGCAGCTTCTTTTTCGTTGAATATATGATTTCCCGTTCCTTGATAAACGCTGCAGTTACCAAGAGGGCATAAATTTGATGAATCGATCTTCGGGGGACCTGAAATGCATACTCATTTTAATATTAATGGCACTACCGCTTATTTTTATTACTTTTTTCTAGTAAATATTTATACACTTCACAACTCTCATAGTTAAATCACCCGTTACTTGTATTAGGACGTAGGTTCAATTTCATCAATCAAAGGTAAACGGTTTGACACGATAGCAAGATTTACAGAGGCATTCAGTTACAAGTAACCCGTTATTTAAACACAAGAGATATGAAGTGATTTATGCCGATTTCCAAATAAACGGCTCATGTATGTAGTAAAACGAATTGAACGTACCTGCGAACATAGCAACGGTTAACGGTGTCACTAAAGAACAGCATTTGGTGCTGTTTCTGTTGGCGCTATTAATAACATTTCCATATACAATCCAATGTGAAGGAAATGTACGCGCATTTGAATTTAAAGGCCCCAATGTGAGATCTCGAAGCACAGAGGTGGGGTGTATAACAAGCTCTTTAGGTCTATTGCTTCTAAGACGACCTTCGAATGTATCAATAATGCTAAGACAAGGATAAAGTCCAGCTACTAGAGTTGCTTTAATCATCGGCCAACTGTTCGATTTCAAATTTATGTAATGCATGCTCAATTGTCCTTGGTTGTGTATAAGCTGGGAAGAGCGCAATGCGCCCACCAAATGTGTACGAATGTCACAAACTTTTTCCAAAATTCCATTCAACACATAATCATGTTCATCTATCAGCACCATTTCTGGATTATCGTCTCGCAAATTATTTTGCCATTCTTGGTATAAACGCAGATATATTAAATGATCCGACAATATATTCTCTGCTAGGCGTTTTCGTTCTATTTTTAATTTGGACCTCACCTCTTCTAATACGGTTAAGTTTTTGTTATCTATCTCCGTGGGCAATTCCAGTGGATCAAATGTTGATAGGAAGCTTACAATTGTCAATACGGGATCCAGGCATTGTAATAGTATAGCGAAAACAAGTAGTTTTCCAAGTTGGCAATCAATCGGTACATCTATTAAACGACATCCCAGCCATGTCACCTCTTCTAGCTCATCAAACACGTATATTTTCTTCAGAAATTCGACTGTGTTGTGTACATTTATGAATGGCGCTTTACAAATGGTCGACTGCAAATATTCTGCAACCATAGTGTGCGGAGATAACAACTTTACAGTCAAGCAAATTCGATCCAGAGGCATTGTTAATAAATCCGCTGTGTACGTTAAAGGTAGCTTATCGATCAAAAAACCAGATATGAAACGAAAGCATGAAGCCTTTTCACCTAAAAAGAGAATACTATTTCATAAAGTCCAAAAACATTTATAATCATGAATTCTTTACCCAGACGACTTGTTAAACGTGCACGATTTTCAAGCGCTTCTCTAGAAATCCATTCATAAACAAGCTCCTTACAACCCGTATCCGCGGTATACTGGATACGTCGTGCTCTTGCCAAGTCGATTACATATTTTATTGGAAATTTCAGTATAACACTTTCTATAATATCAGTTGTAATTACAATATTTTTACACTCGGGTGTGCCTTTTATAACCTCCTCTAATTGGTCTTTCTCTATATTGTTATGGAGCATATATATGACAATTTGTGGTGGGATATCACCTATCATTTTACATCGCAAAACCCAATAATTTATACGTAAAAGTTGCTCGTAATCAGCTACAATTATAACTAAATTACCTAAATTTAAAATAGAGCTTGAAATTTTATTGATAGCAATCAATTTAAAATACGCACCAGGTTCCCATTTTGTACTCATCATTAAAACCTTAATCAGATCCATTACCATGTTATAATCCAATGATGTTGGATTCATGTCCTTTAAATTTTGGGCACTGCTTAGTAATTCAATACACATCAAATTTCCTCCAGCAATCGCGTTAGATACAGCGTTCAGGTTTTGTTTGTCCATTATATAAGGGTCGGCGAATTTTTCCAGTAACATTTTTATATGTGTTACATTTCCAAGTTTAGCAGCTATTATAATCGCTGTCTTTCCAGTTATTGAGTGCCGATAATCTATTGAAACATTTTCTCCTCGGACCATATACAAAAATGTTTCTAGGGCTTGATCTGCTCCAGTAAGCTCATAATTTTCAAGTATGCGGTCCACATTGAAATAATTTCGGTTTGGCATTCGGGACATATTTGTATAGTTATTATATATCGACTGGTTACGCATATTTAAATGACGGTCGGTTTCTATTACTTTTTGTATATCTTCTAGATGAAATACATGAGATGTTTGGAGTTCCTGTACTGCAGGGTATTCCAATTGTAATACCTCTCCTTCCCCAAAATACTCTAGGAAGCCTAAATTGTGCCGTGAGTTTGACAGCAGTATTATCTTTAGATGTGCGTGGCAGCGAAGTGCTGCTCGTAGTTCACATAACAATAAATCAGTAAACGCTTCATGTCGGGTGACGTCGCAAACAATAACATGTGAAATATGCCGAAAACTATCGACAATACTTTGACCCATAAGTACTCGGAGTAGAAAACTGGAAGTGGTATATATAAGGTTTGATCCCTCGCTGATACGACTTTGTAAATGGATTTGAAATGCTACAGTATTTCCCACCTTTTCTCCAAGATACTCCGAAAGCTTTTCGCTATTATGAATAGCCAATAATTGTTCTCTTTCTACACAAATTATTTTACAATGAGCTCGACGCTCTGCACAACTCTCAATTATATACATGGGCAACCCGGTGGATTTTTCAAAGATGCAGTCTCCGTTCACTATAAGCACCCGAGTGCGCTGCAAGGCTTCAAGCAAACTTGTTTTGTATGGATGTAAGGAACATTTTTCCTGAAATCTCTGTTGCCCGCGATCATTTTGTCGAGCCATCGATTGTTTTAATCCCAAAGAGAATCTATGTGGCGGAATAGAAGGTCTGGCACAATTTGGGCTGAAAAACTCTGGCGACATTTGCATTTCTAGTTGACTGCCAATAAAATCGCTCTCGCGTTGTAGCATAAAAAGCTCCTTTTCCGTGTGTGGCGCAAGGTGCAATTCTGGTACCTGCTCCATAAAATGTAGACAATGCTTTTTGTACATTTTTATGAACTCAATCCCGTTGTGCAGCAATGGACGACAATTGTATCCAAGTTTAAAAGCATAGTCGGCAAAGATTATTCTCTCAACTGAACGAAATGATCCACAAAATTTTTGGCAACAGCGATTGCCATCTTTAAAATGCATTAGTTGCTCAAAAATATATTGGTGCACAATATTTTTAATCATAATGTATAAAAATAGTCGCGATGTCAAAATTTTAAATTCAAAACGGAAGAAGTACTGCAAAGTTTTAACAGATATCGGCATTGCCAAATAAGAATGGGGAATTGGTGCAGTGGCAGCAGTGGGCAGCAGTGTTGCCGTTACAATTTTCAGAAAGTCGCAAAAAAGGGGTCATTGACGAAAAAAAGGGTCTTCATATTATTTTTGCTTTTATGTACTAGGAAAAGGATAAATCCTATGAATTTGAAAAGAAAATAGCGGGACAAGCTTTTCATAAAACAGGGTTGCAAACATACACATAAATCGAGAAGAGTTAAATTTCCCTTAAAAGTTTTAAGTGATGCATTTTTTCGTACCTATAGGAGGAAATTTTTTTTAATAGCATGGTTCCGTTAACATTTCCTTAAAAATCTCTGCAAGGGGCAAAAGTCGCACATAATTTTGTAAAAGGGTAAAAAAATCAAAATTTTCAAAGTCGGGTCAAAGGGTATTGGCGCTTAAAAAGGGTAAAATTGCCCCTTTAGTCGCACAACGTAACACTGAATGGTAGTGCAATGGGGTTATGTTATAACCTCAGGCTTACAGCAGAAGCCCGCCATAGAAAATGGAATGTCAATTTACTAGTCACCATGTAATTTTAAATATTTTTTATATTATTTTATTTGTATAATGTGAAATATTTTTTACATTATTTTATTTGTGAAAAAGTGAATGTATTACATATTAGCGTAATACCTATTACTGTATGAATGTTCTTTAAAATAATCCGAACCCTTTTCTTCGTAATCCTTTTTAGAGCTCAATGAATCGCTAAAAACATTAGAATGGGCAAAATCTTTTGCACCAATCCAAGCATCAAGTTCAGGCGATTGTGCAGCATATATTTGAAACGGAGTTTGGAAAGGACGCATTTCCCGCAACTCTTTCGAAAGCCGCTCTTTTAATCCTGACAAGAAATAAGTAAAGATTTTTGTCAAATACTTTGATGTTTTTATAATCAAACTACCTATGAATTGTGAGCATCCTCCTGTTAGAAAAATGTTATTAACCAAGCGCTGCTGCTCACCTTCTGGAAATAACTTGAGCACAAATTCAATCAATTCAGCAAGCCCCATCTCAGAACATCCTATTAGGCTTGGCTGGAATATTACTTCTGGTGCTCGTATAGACTCAACACTGAAATGCAACTAAATAAACAAAAATACTATAATTTTTAAAATTTGTAAGCAGTTTTTTCTATTGAAGAAAATCATAACACCGTCAGTCAAAAATTTTTCAAAAATCAACGGTATTCAAAAATCAACGGTAATCATTACATGAAAAAATTTTGGAGCGGAATTAAAGAAAAATATTGATAATTTCCGACTTTTTTCACTCTCTTGTAGATCTGTAAAACTATCGATGGTACCAAGGTGTATTTAACAAGGTGGTGTTGGGGCGACAGCTGAGTTTTTCACCGTGGAGGGCATTACGTCAAAAAGGACAGTGTGGATATCTGCATATAATTTGTTAGTGTAATTCTTTACTTACGCTTTGGATGGTACTATCGATACTATCGAATGGTTTATATTTTTATTTTTATGGTCTTTGGCCACTATCGATAGTCTTTGTTTGAGGAAATATATATATTGGGGCGTATTCTTGTTTTTGTACGAATCGAAAATCATGAAATTTTCCTATCATTTTCTATACAAAAAAATTCAAATTTTCTATTCGTACGAAAACCAGAATACGCCTCATTGTTTATATCATATGTACTACTTAGTATGCATTTTTTATTTTTGAAAATGGGAACTTGGCTACATTGATTTACTTACACATCACTATTTTTTACCTATAACCGGGTTTTATACGGTTCAAGTAATGAATTCAATTCTGCTTGCTAGTGGAAGAGAGGATTGAGAAGAAAAGGGAAGATTACATATGCGTCTATACCGTCAAGTGGTTTCAAGTTTCTTGCTTTGCTTTTGAAATTTTCGCAAATAGAAAACGCAAAACAGAATGAACCAGAATTGCTTTAAAGTACTTGAATCATGTAAATTGGTTGTAATTAAATTTGAAAAAACAAAACTAGTTTGAATATCTTTTTGGAACTATACTATGGTGTTAGTAGTTGTGTTTATTTGTAACGATCAAGTATAACGATCATTTCTCACCGAAATGGTGTGTACCATTCTTATTGGAGTTGGCAGAACTAATTTTATACTACTAGCACGAGGAAGACGAAATTATAAAAATGAACTCACTGAATGGGGAAAAGTACATTTAAACGAAATAATATTCACTTAAACAAATATTTAACGTAAAAGAAATTTATTTGAAGCAAATTAAAAGAAGCAATGGCAGAATATATGTTTGTGTATACATTCATTTGTCGGTGCTACCAAACCGTAGTGCCATATTATCAGTGACACAAACCAAAAAGAGCGGATCATAAATTGAACCAGATCTCAGGATCATATTAGTTGCGTTCCAGCAGCAGTACGAATAGCAGGAATTTACAGGATTTTACAGGAAGCTGTTCCCGCACGACACCTTACATAAGGTTTATTAATGGCGAAAACTGTAAATCCTGTAAAATCCTGCAAAACCTGCTATTCGTACTGCTGCTGGAACGGAACTATTGTTGTTGTTCTATTTATGTGCATCCGGATCCTGATCACTGCCCACGGAAACACAGCAAGTGATTCTGCGTCGATGGATGAAACTATTAATATAAGCCAGGGTTAGTCAAATTTTGGAGATTCTTGTATCGAAGAGAAAGGACAAAGTTACTGAAAAGCGATATATAACAATTAGCTAATTCTTCAGGAACTAAACAAAACTAAAGTTTATATTACTAGGTTCACATATAAGTAGATTATCCTCATTTTCGAGCTTAACACCCTAATCTGTAATTATAACAAGGGATTAGCCATATAAAATTCGTCCCTTGTTAATCTGTAATTATAAAATAATCTCAGATTTAACCGATAACTTTTCGGTATCCATTCTAGATTTATCGATTGCTTTTGCGAAAGAGAGGAGAAATGCCAAATGCAAAAGCAAACAAAAATGTACGCTAGCAAATAAAAGAGGTTTGTAAAGGTATTTTTAATAAAATGTTAAGTTAAAATATATTTATGTTGCTTATTATAGCAGAAAAACGTGATCACGGTGGCACAGAGAAGAAACATAAATTTTCCTTGAGATGTGAGAATAACAAGCACAACAAATTTGACGGCTAATAATCTGAGATTTGCCTGTGTAAACGGGGTGATTAAAAAACGAGCTTTGATTGAGATAATATTGATATGTGAACATAGTTTATAAATAGCTTCGTCGATGCATTTTAAAATTATCCGATACTATCGATAGTTTCAAATGCAAACTATCGAAAACATCGAATGGGGTGACTATCGATAATTTTACAGCTCTACTCTCTTGTTGTGTAGTTTTAGAAATACCACCGTCTGCCGGGCAGGGATAGCTGTTAAGGTACGACCGCACTAGACGACGATACACGACACTACACAGCGCGGCAAAATATTCTTTGCATGGATTCTTATGGAGCATACCGCACTACGCTGCAGCAGAGCTACGCGACGCGACGCTGCGCGGCAAAGTTGACCAACTAGGCAAAAATGTCGTGTCGCGTGGTGTCGCGCAGTTCCGGTGCCGCATAGTGCGGTATACCCAGCGGAGCGACATAACATTGCTACTATATTTTTAACTTGAAGAAATTTATTTCGAATTGTGAGTGAATATTCCATGCATTTCATTCAAGAATAAAATTTTATGTAAAGAAACATAACATTTGAGGAGAATTCGCCAAGGAAAATAAAAATAAAAGGCATTAACATTACATCAGCGTCTCTGGCATTCATCTTGTTTGAAGGTTTTGACGCAAAAAAAAAAATAATTGCAGCGAAGTGTCGCGCCGCTGCAGTTTCAGTGCGGTATACCAAAAAGTGTCGCGCCGTGTCGCGTCGCTTAGTGCGGTCGTACCTATAGAAAAAAGGTCGCAAGGACCAGGGATCGAACCGAGGATCCCACGACAGTCGGGTCTACGTAACCGGAATGATCCAGACTTTAATCTGCTGCTCTGCTGTTTCTCTATTTAAGCTGAAATTAGTCAAGAACGTAAACCTACCGGTACGTAAAGCAGAGTCAGCTGACACGATCCGTCTTATCAGAGCGCCATGTAAATGAAAACTCAACACCGCAGAATTTTTCTGTAGTTGTAGCCCGTAGCGCAGAAATCTGCGGAATTTAGATTTTTTCGTGCCAGCTGATTTCTTCCTTCTATAGTTGCCACTACGTCAGTTTTGCAGATAATTTCCTATTCAAAATACGTTTGAAACATTTGAAATTTACTACTGAATAAGGTTTTTTGTTGAAAACTAAGTAGTTTATATTTAGCCACGATCTATTATAGCACGAAAAATTGTATTTGAAGAGGTAAGTTTATGTAAAGGCATTGATGAGTGGCAACACTGTAGTAAGCAACACTGAGGGCTCCAGTAATCGACAAAATTCTGCGTATACAGACTGCGTTTAATTATACATTCTGCGTTCTTGACCAATTTCAGCTTTATAATTTTGTGTCCGCAACTTAACACTAAATTTTGGAAGGCATGGACAAAAATAACTTTTGTTTCGATTCACCCTGCAGTGTTTTCATACTCATGCTCGGGGAAACAACTTGATTAGTTGCCAAATTTTATAAACAATTTTTTACGAAAACGTAACGAGCACACGTTTAGTGGAAAATGGCTAAAGTTTTCCAATTGGCTTTCGGCGGATTATGCAGATTTAATAAAAATGTTGTCAGCAGTACAGCACGAAAATATGCTAAAGCCGCTTATGAAGCAGATGGCAAAACCAAAGTGTCTATATTCAATACTGAACAGGACCATGGTCTCATGATCACCGGCTTCAGTCAATTTGGATTTCGTCTAAACAATGACATGGTAATAATGGGACCAATGGCTATATTTCCACGGTAAGAATAATTGAATAAAAACAACAATGCACTAAAAATGTTTTCATTGATTTGCAGTTCTGTACTTTCTTGGAACGTTAGCTCTTATGAGGATATCAACGAAGATAGTTTAGCATTCTTTTGCACGCTTGAACCAAAAATTGACATACTCATTATTGGAATTGGGGATCAAACCGTAACACAAGGTCTTTCTAAAGTAATAATTGAGTTTATGAAAAAACATAAAATCAATGTTGAAGTACTTCGTACTGAACAGGTAAAGCAAAAAATACATAAATACCAAAGATAAATTTTGATAAATATTTGCATGCATTCACGTCTAGGCATGTGCAACGTTTAACTTTTTAAACGCAGAAAGCCGTATGGTGGCCTCTGCACTAATACCACCGCTCCACGTTACCTACAACGAGAACGATATACTGCAAAGTAAATTGAGAAAGAAGGAGCTTTATGAAACGGATTGAGGAGCACTCAACTATTTTCAGCGCGTTAGATGTTTTTCTTGTTAATTATTAATAGTTAAAGCTTAGTAATTTAACATATTTATATACATATCGTCCCATTTCTGCGTTAGCCTCTTATCTGCAATAGTCAGCCTAGAGATCGTAGAAAAATGCAAATTTCTTCCACTTATAGTATATAAACGAGTTGTATGCTTAATATTTTTGATTCAACCCACACTAGTGTTTGTTTTATTTTAAAATAGTATAATGCCTAAAACAAAATATGTATGTATGTGTGATACGTGGGTAACGCAGAAACGGAACGATATATACAAACTTTGGTTGAGTTGCATGCAATAAATATTTTTTTTGTTGAAACTACTCACTTGATAGTTTTCAGCAACATCAGTAGTTTGTGTAGCAGATTGCTTGAAGGAAGGATCATATTGTCGGAGAATATTTTCATATTCCAAAAGTTTGTCGTTATCACTGTCGCTGTCACTTTCGTTATCCTTGTTTATTGATTTATAAACATCCCAGTCATTGTCGTTCACACCAAATGTGTCGACACCTTTGTCATTATTCGCCAGTAAAGAGATAATGCGCATTCGTTCTTGCGCCGCTGCGGTATGACGTTTCGCGGCTTCTTGTCGACGCGCTTTTCGCAACTCTTTCCTTCGCAGAATCTCTTCTCGTTTATAATTAACTTCAGACACCCATTTTTCTATGGGAACATCCGATGGTGGTTTTTTGGAACTAGATGATTTTTCTTTCTGTACACGACTAGCGGTTAATGAAGCATCTTGTGTGGTTGATTCCATTTGTTGGAGCCGTCCCTTTAGAGAGGTTATTGTTTTCTGTATATAAAGATAATATTATAGACCTCTTAAGAAATAATGAGGCAAATGTGTCCTTACATCTAACATAGATAAATTTTCTATATTGTTTTGCTTTAAAGCTGATTCGAATTCTTCCGTTTCACCAAATTCGTAGAGATCTCTAACATTTGACATAAATCGTAATTGATTTTCCAAATCTAATTGCTTGTTTTTAGCACGACGCGCGTTTATTTCAATGAGGCGTTTTGTTAATTCCTTCCGTTTCTCCATTTTTTGATCCAGATTCTGGAGGGTATTTTGAACAATAGGAGGTGCGAAAGCGAGTTGAATCTTTTTTACATTTTCTGTGTAATAGTCTATATCAGACCAACGCCTCAATGCTTCCAAATAATCTAATGCTATACTACTATGACAATGCAACAATGTCTCAATTTTACTAATGGTTATTGAATTTATATGCATGGGGTACTTCATCTGCATAAGCCGATGCAAATAATAAATAATATGGTAACCGCCTAAATTCAAGCGACGCATATTCTCAATCTTAATAATTCCATTAAGAACTGGTAGTACATGTATTGTATGATACCCAAACGATATGATAAGTGTGTCAGCACCTATAGCATTTTGCCTCCAACTGAAAAGAGAATCAATCCCATAGCAGACAGAGGGAATACCATAGCATTCGAAAAGCAATTCATTCATTTCTAAAATAAAAAGGCTTTTCTGATAATTATCAACATTAAGTTAAAATAATTACTAACGTTGGCGGAAATAATTTGGATTGCCAATAGCTTCGGTCAACAGCACTGGATGAGAAAAGTTTTCCTCGTTATTAACACCCAAATGTGCAAAGATGTAATCAAATATTTGTTCCTGGTTATGAAAATGTGTGACAACATTGCGGTCGAACTATATATATAAATATAACTTTAAATTAATAAGGGGGGATATTATATTACATGTAAAAATACCTGCGTTTTGAGATTTAACCGCACACTTTCAATATTTGTAATAGCATTTCCTATTTGGGTATGTTTGTTAGCTAGAGGTTCTAACACTTCTTTTCTTCTATCTCTCCTTGGTTTCAAGAGTATGTTTCGGAACTCCAGTAAGGGATTCGGGCTGCTACTCCAACCAGCCCTGCACTTAAATGAACCTATAATGCAATAGGTCTCATCATTTAAACATGCGTTTTAAGCACCATTCTTACCATTATCGATAACGAGCACTTCCTGTTCCAAGCCATTGTCATAGGAATGAAATATGTCCGCTTTGGTTGGATTTTCCACTAAATTAATTATATTCATTTCGCAAAGTGAAAACACCGGTTCCAAGCATGAACCAAAAATACAAGATCACCTAATCAAAGAAGCAAGAAAAAAGTATATTTCTGAGTGTTTTTGACATCTGCCTAAGAATGAAAACAAACAAAGAAAACGAAAAAGGCGCGGTGATTGAGTGCGATTAAATCGGTATTTATTATAAAATATACAAAGTGAAACTTGATGACAATTAGCAAAAAAAGTTCATAAAATATGGTTTTCATGATTGAAAGTGTTTTACAATCGCATATCATTACCACGGGTCGATTTTTCAATGCCACCGTTCTGGCCACAAACGTGCACCCACTTTTCACGCAAATTTACGCCTTTTGGCAAACCAAACATACGCACAAACTTGTTCCGACCACACAGCACTTTATTTTATATCATAAATATGTAATAAACCAAAATTTATAATTAAAATCGCTGCAGAAAACACATTCAATCGCTAAAAAATCACTACGAAGAGGTAGAAGACGATGTAAACAAACCCGAAAAACGTCAAAAACGCTACGAAAACTTTTTTCTGAAAATCGATTACAAATACAACGATGGCTGATTAGGTGATCTGTAGTCGTTGGTTCATGGGTTCCAAGCATAAAAGATAACATCTTTGCAGTTTTATCGAGTTCAATTGAGCTACAAGGTGAGTTGAATATATAAAATTTTACAGGAATTAAAAAGTATGGCTATGCTGAATATGCCAAAGTACAGTGATAGCTTGACCGCAGAACTCCACAGGCGAACAGCGATGGCCTACCAACTGTCATTTTGACGAGCAATGTGATTGCAAGTTTTTGTGTGTGGGCACTTTGATGTCTTGAAATAAGCATTTGCCGCATGACGCCACCAGACAACATTCTCTCAATTTCGGTGTTTAAAAACATTTAAATCTTTAAAAAACTTGCTGAATAATTTCCTAAAACGTAATCATAAATAATCCAATAAGGAACAGACTTTTATTTTGATTTAATATAAAAATTTCATCGATGTTACCACCAGCACGCTTTCTTACAAATGAAAATATGGCTGTCAAACTATCGAATTGCCTGCAATAGATGTCAAGCAATAAGCGCTGACATATATTGCAGCACATGAGAAATAGGCGGTCTCCATTGGAAATATATTTTGTGACATAGTTTTCACGACATCAGTGTTTTCCTGTGGAGACAGGGCCTGATACACAAAATATATAAAATCATATATATTCTAATTGAATTACCTACAAAACATAAATATATATCGTCGTTTAAAGTACAAAACCGCGTATCAAGAAAATGCAAAACCTCGTATGAGAAGTTGCCGAAATTTTATGGGAGAGAGTAAAACTTGCCTTATTTGAAAATATCTTTTTGGCACAAATGTTTGTTACGAGGTTTCCCTACAAGAAATCTTACTGGCAAATGACCGGTTAAATGACGGCCAGTGCTGATGCAATAATGCTGCAATTTCCTCATCAGCGATTCGGGGGTAATATGAAAAACCTGACCAGTTCTTTTGTGTACATCCCTACAACAAAAGGACATTTTAGACTGACCGATTCTCAATACACTCAAACAAAAACCAATACACATAAAGAATGCTGTAAAAATTTCCCCACAATTTTAAGGCAGTAAAACAGAGACCTTAAGTTGACATCAATCGAGTCCATATGATGAAAAGAGATGCAAAATCACATGTACACAGAAGAACTGGTCAGATTTTTCAGAAATCCCTGCAATTCTGACGTAAAATATGATCCCAAAAGGCTGCAGATCTTCCAGTCAGATTACCAGTCATATGACCGGCAGATGTCTTGTAGGGATGTGACTTTCTCACATGGGTATTTTACCAGCAGTCTCTTTTCTACTTGTTATATTTCCTAAGGTTATTTTTACAAATACTTTCTGTGCCAAGAATGATGTTCGCTGCACCGTGTTTCTGTGCATTGGTGTATATTTTAGTGTGTTAGTGAAGAGGTCAGAAAAAAGTCCTTTTCTGTAGGGCTTGCAGAACCGCGATACTCGTTTTGTACTTTAAACGACGATATGTAAAAATTACTATAAATAATGCAATATAGCGTTTTGTTAAAATTGGCGTACATAGCCATACATATGTACTCGTATATGTATGCTTGTATGTACATAATGTCCAAGATACTATATTCAACAAGGTAGAAATGACCATGAAAGAAAGACTCAAGATCACGCAAGAAGTAATGAAAAAAAGTTATTTTCTAGGTGTTGAAACCTAGACGCAATCTTTGTTGCAAGAAGTAAACAACGAAGCAACGAAGAAAACCGCGTAATTGTTGAACGCATGAATAATCAAATTTCTTATGCAAATTTTTTTATAAATCATGTCGTTGTGTTAAATTATTCTTAACCTTGTGTGCACACACGTTGTCAAAAGCGAAAATGAAAATAGCAGAAAAAGCCAGCACCTAATTGCAAACAACGAACAAATGTAAACAAACGGCTAACGTCAAAATCGCTCTACTTTTTTCCTAAATGCGATTATAACTGGCTACTCTTCTTTTTGCGTGCTCTTGTGTTTTTGGTTCATAGAAATGACAACTTAAGCTGACTAGTGTAAAAAAGTTGAAATATTATTATTTCAATACGATTTTTATGTTCGACATTTCGTCGCCGTTTGAAAGTGAACTGTCGAAATCACTTCCACCTGTGTCGTATGCTCCATTTACAAACATCTATTTTCCCTAACGGACAATTAATGCACTTTATTTCTTCTCAGACAAAATGTATGTATTTCCTCAATTTTTTCACACATAAGAAGTTAATTATAAAAATATTTAAACGTATTTCGAATTAATTGTTCAACAATCTAAGAAATTAGCTGCCATTAACAACTCCAGCGCAATTTCAGGAGCAATGGGGAACTCAGGAATTTCGGTGGAACTATTGGTATATCGTACTTTATATGTGAAGTACATGCAAACCTTTTGAAGAACGTGAGATCTGAAAAAATAAAATAAATTCAGGATATAGAATATACTGGCTAGAAAATAATACATTTGATTTCATCATATCAATTATGTAAACTTTTTAGGGATTATTTTTTTTAGGTGCTAGAACTGCCAAATTCAGCAGAAAACGGTGAATTTGTTTGTAACTTAATCTTCTTGTGCGCTATGTTTAAAAGCTTATGATTATAGTTTCAGTGGCCGAATACGTTTATATATATATACATACGAGGGTATATGTGTATTTGTTTTTATTCCGTAAAAAAAAAAATAAAGATAGCCCAATGGGCACTGAGTCATATCGACTTACCGCACAGGACACACCATGGAATTAGGTGTAGTAATTTTATTTCGCCCTGTAGCGTAGTAAGCTGATAAGCGCCTTTTTTACTTACGGAATTTCTCTAAAGTGCACTTCATTTGCTTCGTTTTCTGCAAACTGTCCAGGACCCGAAAGCATTGCTTTTATGGTGCCAGAGGTCAGAGCATGTTCCCGTTTAACAATAAATTCCTGCCCGTCTGATGATATTAACTTAACATACATGGCATCAGGACCTTCACATCCTCCGTAGATTTTGTCGCTCCTTTGTTCCTCCATTGTTAATTCTTCTTATATGTGATTAATATCTCTGAAATTATAAATTTTGTCTACAGATCGAATCTGCTAATTATGTATATTTTTCGTATAGAAGTCGCACAAAATTAACAACATTGTTAGTGACTAGGTATATGTGGAACAATAATAGGGTGTTGTAAATACTAAAGATTTCGTATTATCTAAAACCTTAACAAATCGTTTATTACGAATTTATAATATTAAATAAGTTTTTAAGTATTAAATAAGTTCTACAATAATTTTTTTACCAATATATATATATTAAATAAGTTCTACAATAATTTTTATACCAACAAAGCGTCACAATTTAAGTATGATTAAATACCAAGAATTCAGTCACCCTATGTCAGGCCAATAAAACTATTAAATTCTCGTTCGCACGTTCCGCATGTATATTTTTTAATTTCTATTTTTTGCATTTGATATAAGTCGAGTTTTTTTAATCAGAAAATGCAGTCGTCATTACTGGCAGTGTTAAAACAGGGGAAAGTTTTTTCCAATACTTTTACTTTAGGTTTAGCAACCTCTTCACCGAAATTTGGTAAGCAAAGCATTTCGGCCTTGGCTTATCTTGAGGTTAACAAATAGCGTTTACTAAATTGATGCGGTGCAAAGTTCAAATTTCGTAGACTTTTAAAGATTAAATACTTGCGGCATATCGCAGTGCCCCGTTTATCCCCCTGGAACTAAATACTACAGGAACCTGTTGCATTAAGTCTGTTCCAGTTGCTTCGAGATTTGCAGGTTTTCACAGGAAGCTGTTCCCGGACGCCATCTTCCATAAGGTTTATAATGGCGAAAACAGCTTTTCTTGTAAATCCTGTAAAACCTGCAAAACGTAAAGTACCTGGAACAGAGATAATAATGGTGAACTCAGGCGAAAAAAAAAAATATTTTTTTTGTTATAAAAACGCTTTTATTTTGAGATGACGAGACGCTAAACAAATGCATATACATACAGCAGTTGAATCTTAAAAATAAGTAGGTAAATTAACACACTACATTTTTTTACGTTTTCAGCCTATAAGCGAGATATCTGTACTTCAAGAGCTTTAAACAAAGAAACTAAGTCCTTTAAGAGAAGTTTTGAACAAAACATCGTCTTGGTTGATGGAGTTCGTACACCGTTCTTAACATCCTTCTCCGACTATTCCAAATTGATGCCCCATGATTTGGCCCGCCTTGCCTTAATGTTAGTACTTAACTGATAATCCATATTTCCAGACTAACATTAAGCCAAAATTCGGCATATTATTTTAACAATTGCAGCAATCTACTTGACAAAACAAATCTAAGCAAAGAAGTTGTTGATTATATTGTTTATGGCACAGTTATCCAAGAAGTGAAAACTTCGAATATAGCCCGCGAGGCAGCATTATGTGCAGGTTTTAGCGACAAGACACCAGCGCACACCGTCACAATGGCCTGTATTAGCTCAAACGTGGTAATTATACGAAAGTTGCAATATTACTTGTTGCACTTACATACTACATACGTGCATACTAATTTACCTACATATGCATATATACGCAGGCTATAACAACAGGTATTGGATTGTTGGCGACAAACACTTATGATGTTATCGTTGCTGGTGGTGCGGAATTTATGTCTGACGTTCCCATTCGGCATTCGCGTAAGATGCGTAGTCTATTGCTTAGAGCTAATAAAGCAAAAACACCTCTCCAGAAATTGAGTTTACTGGCCACTTTACGTCCAGATTTCTTTATTCCCGAGGTATGATATTCTGAAAGATATGTATGTACCATAATTAATTTTTTTGGTTAAGCCAATTCGAAATTACTTCCTGGGATAGTAGAATCCGAAACTTTTCTTTGTCCAAAGCGCTACGATCAATAACCAAAAACCTCGGTTTTTGCTTTAAAGTCGGTTAGCGAAAAGTACCTAAAAGAAGTTAACCATATTTTTTTAAAATTAATTTTTTATCTCAATGCAGTTGCCAGCTGTTGCAGAATTTTCTTCAGGAGAAACTATGGGTCACTCTGCGGACCGCTTGGCAGCAGCTTTTAAGGTCTCCCGAGAAGAGCAAGACGAATACGCATTGCGTTCACACACTTTAGCTAAACAAGCACAAGATAAAGGATATTTCACTGATGTAGTTCCTGTCAAAGGTTTGTATAAGACTGATTTTAATCTTTTTACCTTAATAATATATAAATGCCCTGGACCCGTTTTCGTTCAAAGTTAAGCCGAAAGGCTACTCACTGAAATTCTTTTAAAATTTAAAACCAAATCTACATTAAAGAGTTAATTAAAGTTCTTATTAGAAAAGGAAATTCGCAACTGAAGACCTTTCTTTGTAAAAATTACTCTGTAAATTATTATTACATATCAATGTAACATCATGTTTCGAGAATGTTTTCTATTATTTCTTGCTTTTTATTATATATTTCCAATAGTGCCTGGCGTAAAAAATTTTATTGAAAAAGATAACGGTATTCGTGTTTCAACGCCCGAGAGTTTAGGTAAACTGAAACCAGCATTTATTAAGCCGTTTGGAACCATCACTGCAGCCAACGCTTCATTCTTGGTAGGCTATGTTTTATTTTAATCATACTTGCTTTATTGATAATTTCTTTCTAGACTGATGGTGCCTCTGCCTGTGTAATAATGAAGGAAGAGACTGCGAAAAAGCTTGGCCTCCGGCCTAAAGCTTATTTGCGCGATTTCTTGTATGTATCGCAAGATCCAATTGATCAATTACTTTTAAGTCCTGCCTATGCTATACCAAAGCTCTTAAAAAAGACTGGCCTCACTCTCAAAGATATCGATACATGGGAAATTCATGAAGCTTTTGCCGGTCAAATTCTCGCGAATCTTAAGGCGCTGGACTCTGATTGGTTCTGCCAAAACCAAATGGGCCTTGGTGAAAAATTTGGTTCGCCCGATTTGAGTAAATGGAATAGCTGGGGTGGTTCACTGTCGATTGGACATCCATTTGCGGCCACCGGTGTGCGATTGTGTATGCACACAGCAAATCGTTTAGTACGTGAAGATGGACAACTGGGTATCATAGCTGCATGTGCCGCTGGTGGTCAAGGTGTCGCCATGCTGTTGGAGAGATATCCCGGTGCTACTGCAGATTAACTAAGCTAAGTAGTAAAGTGTTATATTGAATTAAAATTTCTGAATTATGAATCTGTGCGAAACTTATTTTTAAAAGAGATAAACATGTTTGAAGAATTATTGTACCAGCATTTACATATAAAATAAACTCACAAGCACATACATTTGTAAACCATTATTATGACTCGTATTTTATTTACTTATTTTAATACATTTGGAATTAGCTCGAACTCATGTTTGTTATTGTTTTTATTGTAATTTTTCGTTAACGCACTTACTTTTGTGCCTCATATATTTTAGAACTGCTTTCAATCGCTTGAATTAGAAAAAAACGAAATATAAAATTAAATATGAAAACTAAAAAATTCAAATCGAAATTCAACTAAAAATGTTTGCAAACAAAGAGTAGAGTTTAGTAGTTAAGCTTTTTATATGAAATTGTGAGTAGGGACACGATATATATTAATAATAATAATTACACATATGTTAGTGTTTGGCCGAGCTTCTCCTCCGCCTTGATGTTTTCACACAAAGAGGAGGGACCTACAGTTTTATGCCGACTTCGAACGGCGATTGTATTTTAATGAGATGTTGTTTTTCGGGGCGGAAATACACTCGCAGGTTTGCCATTGCCTGCCGAGGGGCGACCGCTGTTAAGAAAAAACCTTTTTTTCCGATATATTACTCCTTTAAAGTATGGCTGTAAAAATATCCGGGATAATAATGTAATACCGGGATAAAAAGACTCGACACAAAATCAAATCTGAATATTGATCTCATTTTCTAATAAAGAAAGAATACTCTGAACTTTAATAAGTGTTTGCTTATGTAGTGCTTATGATAAATGACATCACCGAAGGCGCGGGTTGAAATCCCGCCACATGCCAACCTAAGTTAGTACATATTTGTGTTCTTTAAAGCGCAACTATATCCATATTGCTTTACATATAGATTCGAAAGTATAGACATAGCATAGATTTGCAAAACATGAAACCGCTCGGTAGTGCTGAAGTCAAAATAAAAAATATATTAGACATAAAAATTCATGTTTTATTTGCGCTAAAGATTAGTTTAAAAACAATATTAACAAAAAAAGTTTCAATGGAAATTTAAGTAACGTAACGTCACGTCAGATTCTTCGGCTGATATAAAAAATCAGAACAGACTTTTACATTTTTGAACTTGAAAAATTAACCTTAAACATTTCCAATATTACTACAATTATACAAATTTTTTTATACAAATAAGCTTGCCCAATTCCTAGAGTTATTAAACTTTTCATTTTATATTATTAATCACATTAACTTTGTAATGTACATTTATGATTCGATACGGTACCAAGGATCAGGCACTCGATTCCAAAAAATATCGTTTGAAAATCATCGAGTAAAAAGTATCGGTATCGAATGGCAAAAATATCGATATGGTATCGTATCGTATCGAAATTCGTGTCCCTTCATGTGAGTAACTAATGTTTGTGTGTGGTAGAGCGTCCATTGAAATTAGAAAAAATACATGTGTAAAGCTCTGCATGGTACGATAGGAAATGGAATAAGTCAAGCTTACGAAAAATTTTATTTTAGCAAATAACCGAACAAATGTATTAAATTAAATTAAATAATTAAAAAAAAATAAATAATGTAACTAAAATACTTTCGGCAAATTCACGTCGAAGCAACTTAAATTCGAAATAATAAAAATAAACAGAAACAAAGCGAAAGTTAACCTTATCAAGTTTACATTGAAATTTTGTAGTCACAGCAAATTGTTAATGAATAAATATGTACAGTTAATCAATAAAATTTAGATGCAGCCATATTTTTGCGATACGGGCAACTGTTTTTTAACTATTTTATTTTTCGCAAATTTCTTTTATAAAAATATGGTTAATTCTACAACATAAAGCCCAAAAATCAGAGCTCCAAACTTTGTGCAAAATTAAAGAAAATTCTGCAAATGTTCATTAAAATACTGCACGTTTTAATTACTCGTTTGAAATTTTTATATTTTGATGAAAATTTGCAGTTTTCTTTAATTCTGCATAAGGTTTGGAGCTCGGATTTTTGGGGTCTTGGTCGTAGAATTAGCAAAATTTTTATAAAAAATTTGCAAAAAAAAAAATAAAATAAAAAATAATAAAAAAAACAGTTGCCCGTACTGCAAAAAAATCACTGTACCTAAACTTTATTGATTGACTGTATGTAGCCCTTAGACAAATTATTAATGAAAACTTCTTCAGTATGTAAATTTTAAAAATATAAATTAGTGAGTGCGTTTGAATGCAAAATATTCAATATTGTTATATTTTTATCTTTTTTCACTTCTCTTAAAAAGTAATAGTTAAATGAAAATTTTTGTTTCGCTAAAAAATTATAAATATTGTATATAAATTGTTTTTCTTTTTTGTAGAGATTACATATATGTACATATACATACATAGCATGTATGTAAATTAGTTCGAATATAAATGATCGTATTCTGAACAATCTGTATGTTCTACAATTTGTAGTTGTTCATTCGTGTTATGCATAATATGCTCAAATGCGAGGTTGGACCTTCTCACAATTCCGTCGTTATTTATGTGGCTTGCCAAGTGTAGGCTCGCAATGTTCGGTTGTTGTTGTTGCTGTGTAAGTTCTACATCCGATTTGTTGTCTTTTTCGATTACTAAATTGTTAAAATTCTGAAATTTACTATTGGACATTACTTGATAGCCATCTTCGGTCAAAGTTACATTTGGCTCCTCATTCGTTAAGTCAGTATGCTCGATTGATTTCGTTACTACATTCGTAGTAGATTCGCCCAACGAAGAGGTTAGTGGATTTGAACGAGCTCGTTCTTGCAATGGCGTAGGTGGTGGTAGAAAGATGCCATGTCGCCTACGTATGGAATCCACTACATCGTATAAGTTTTTCGCATCCATGGCTAGTATATGTGCTGAAGATAGCATATTCCTGGAAATATTAATAATCAAAGTCTATGAAATTGCAAAGTTGTCTACTATAAGCTTAGTTACCGTCTGTATTCACTATCGAGGGTGGTATCACTGTATTGTTGTGCAAGTCGCATTGTTGCCACCAAATCCTGCATGTCCTTCGATAGCACTTTATGTGCCATTTCAACCTCCCTATAACAAAAAATAAATAAAAAATCTTCTGTTATTCAACTTAACTAGTACCCCTACTACTACTTTACAACGCACCTATGCGCTTGCGTTGGAAAAACCTGTGACAGCCTATCTACCGATGCCAACAAGGTACGCAACTCAATTCCAACATTCCTTACCAAATATAAATAGTTATTGGCATTTGATTTTTCAACATCTTGTGAAAGTGTCATTATTGCCTTCACCACATTCGTGGTAGCTATGTAGACTTCATCATTGCTGCGATCGACTACCACACGTGGTTTATTGCTGCTACCAACACCAGTTAGCTTGGAAGATGCTACTTGATTTTTTGGCCTTGAATCACTTGTTGTATCATTTAAATTACTACATGTCGAATTTTCTATGGAGGATGTACTATTCTTCAAGGTGTTAAGCTTGGAATCTGGGGTGTGGGGACGTGAAGTGCCTAGGGTATTACTAATACTTGGTGAACACTCTGGTAAACTTGATGGGCCATGATTGCAATTAAAATAGCTCGTATCATTTATATCCGAATTTGACGTTAGGCTGAGGCGTTTCTTCTATATAATGTATAAGCGTAATAATGTATAAAATATAAATAATAATAAATAATAATGTATAAAATATATTATATGTATATATAAACATATATAAAATATATACGTATATAGGATACAATAACATAATATAAAATGAACACTCTGGCACATGATTGGAATTAAAGTAACTCATAGCATTTTATCTTGGATGTTTCTCCTATAACTTTCCTATGCCTTCAAGCAACAATGGAGTAAGAGTTAAACTGCTTTTATTGTAAAATATAATAATTACAGTCAGATGTACATAGTTTTCGTCATGGCGCAATAAACAGGTGAAGTAATAAAACAGCTTTCTCGCTTTATTTTCTAACATCCGGCTGCCTTAAAGTCAAATTTTAAACGCTATTTTTCAAATTAGGCAGTGTCGAAATCTTTCCTCTCGCTCTAACTACTTCCCCATGGTTTTCGTCATATAAAAAATAATGCCATCTTATTTGCAAAATTCTCGTGATTTTCTTCTTGATTGATGATACACTCTCCAAGCTATCCCAGTAGATAATTTCAGGCGCTAAAAGACCTTCCAAATGGACTTCTTGAGAGTCATGAGGCCTTCCACCCTACATACTTTTCTCCTTCGTTTTTTGTATGGAGTGGCACAAATTGAAGACCTTCTATTTTCGCAACCATAGAAAGCCTTCCAGAAGGGCTTTTGTAGGGACGTATTTCAGAAGGACTTTTGGAGAGCTGCTTCTTGAATTCCAAAAAATCATACTTCTTTAAGGTATTTATTTGATGTTCATATAAAATATGTTTTGTTGCAATCTAAAATGCATATTTAAATTTATTTGTAATGTTAAATAATATAAATTTAAGCATTCACGTAAATTGTAAATAGAAAGACCATCTAGTAGCCATGCAAGCAATCATATTTTTCAACCTTTCTTGGGTAGGTCTTTTGGAAGGGCTGCACTTAAAAAGGACGACCTAAATTATCTTTTGGGATAGTATATTTTTCCCAGCATTGACATCACGATTCCAACAAGTACGGCAATTGGGACAAAACTGGTACCTGTGCGGCGATTTGAACGTCAGGTTGATATTGAAACAATTGGTGCAGTTTTGTAGTCCTGAACTCGTTCACCACTATAATATCTGCTTTACGATCTCTTAAATTTATAAGAAGTAGACGATTAGGCATACGCCGTTATCCTCGTATTGGGGAATTCGCAGCAATCTCTGTCGACCCGATACAGATTAGTGTTTTCTCTTCTTTGTTTTGGTTTTGTTAAATTTGTTTGTTATTTTTTCAATTTGAGAAGAGCCACCTTCCTTTGAGAGAAAATTTTTTGTTTTTATTCTAGTATCTGAAGCTAATGTGTACAATATTCTCAAAAGTTTGACGAATTTGAAGACAATTGTGTCTTTATGGTGAAATTTTTCGTATATCGTTGTAGTTTTGACTTCCGCGAATGGAAACCAGAAAGGTTTTAATAATATCCATTTTTTTATTTTAACAGGAACATTATTTTTAATTCCAGCTAAAATGAGATGACACCCAGGATCTTGGGATCTTTTATTATCGTATTTCGTTGAACGTTTCTTTGCGTTGAGTTTTCTCTTCTTTACTTGTTTAGTTTCGTTTTGTATTTTCATTTGCTTTTCCATACAAAATTAAATTGAGACGCCGTCGGTTTGAAAGGAAGAAAACGCTTTGGTACACGTTGAAGGTATTTGAAAGTATTTTCGAAATTCTCTTTTATCCAACGAAGAAAATTTTCCCTTGAATAATTTTATATACATATATCATATATGACACAATAGTGAGTAGAAAGCAAAACTATGATATCTGATGTGATGTAAACATGTTGAAAATGTGGAATTAGCGAAAAATTTTTGACATCCTTAACTTCATTGTAACGTTGAAGATTGAAAAATAGTTCAATAGAAGACCAAAATAACTTGACATTTTGTATTTCGTCTAGTTTCTTTCCATTCCATTTCAAATCGATAAGCATTCGTTCCAGTAATGATTAATTTAGGATCTGTTGGAATTTTTCCTAAAAAGGTAATCGAGTGAATTATAAACTTCTTTCTTATCATCCTCAAACTTAAAACAGTTTCTCAGCCGACCATATGCGTGCATCCAAATATTATTGTGAAAAAAAAAGATTTACAGCCGCACTTAGAAACGTTCCTTAAATTAGCTCTAACGGGCACTTAACTAATGATCGCTAAATCTGTTAATTAATGTTTCCTCTCAGAGTTAAAAATTATGAAATAAAAAAAATGTAGGTATGCCCCAGTTGCGGCCCTTCATTTTTGTGGCATTACTCATTTTTTTCGTTCAGTTTGAAATAAAATATAAAAATAAGTATTTATATCATTTTGCGCGCGCCGGCTGAGCAGACGCAATGGCTGAGTGAGCAGAGCACTGGCGTGCCATTTAAGAGATCCGAGTTCGAGTCCTAGGGCAGGAAAATTTTCTTTTTCCTTTTTTATTTATTTTTTTTTTTATTTTTTTCTTATTTAGTTTTATAAACTATCTGTATTGAATTTTTTAGCTTTTTTGATCTAATTTTCTTTTAGTGTATAAATTGTATTGCTTGAAAAAGAAAACAATTTTTTTTTTATTTAATTAAATTGTTTGCTAAAAGACAAACAAGACCAATAACAGGCTAATTTTCCAAACGTTAAATAAAATAAAAAATATTAATTTTTTAAGCGATAAAACTTAAAAAAAAAAATTTATTAAAAAATATTCGTTGCCGAGGATTGAAATCGGATCTCTTGAATGGCACAAAAGTGCTCTGCTCACTGTTATAACAACGTTATCGAAATTGAAATTTATTGAAAGCAAACAAGAACTTTCAAAATCATTCGTTAAAAAGTTTAAAAAGAAGGTTTTTGTTTACTTAACTTTAAAGTTCATTAAATGCCGTTAACGAATCATTAACTGACTCTGAGAGGGAATTTTTTCAAATCGGGAGTAATCATTAAACGACTCTAAGTGTGGCTGTTGTTCGAATTTTCAACGAACTGGCGCATAATTTTAGATTCTTACGCAGGATGCTGTACTCTTCATCGGTTATATACGTTGGTTGTTTATTTACCATCAAATGGTAATAGTATTCAAGAAAATTAATCGCGTCAAACTTTCCTTGTTGCCAACGTTTTATGAGACGAAAAGACAGGACATTTCCTGGACATCCTTTTGTATTCGAACAAAGATGGCGTAATTTTTACACCAAGATCGTAGAGCTTTTTTTACTACGGAACAGGTTGTTTTATTACATTCACCGCCACTTTCTTTGCTATTCTCGCCAAGTGGCATTTTCCGTATCATGGCCAAAAATTGGCTGTGTTGCAAATGCAGAATGAACAACAGGGCTGTTCGGGCTCTTTTGCATATGCTCTTCCATCTGCATATTCGGTGCATTTGTCAATTCACATCAATAAAATGCATACAGTTGCCATGGTAGCAAGCATAAAATTTGCTAATGTAATTCCAGCTGCAAATCCAAGACCATCTCCACAATATCCTGAACAGCCCTAATATTTCTATAAAAAATTTCCAAAAAAAAAATGTACTACGAAAAACATTGCAAATATTGGGTTATACTATATAAAATATATAATATATTCATAACTCATATTTTTATAAAAATGTACGAAAAAAATGTATTACATTGCAAATAGTGAGTGTATATAATATATATTCATAATATTAATTTTTATCCTTTATTAAAATTTAACAAACACAATGTTTCCCAATGAATTTCAAAAGCGCTTAAATGGCTTCGCCAGTCGAAAACTCAAGCCCAAACGAGCCCGCCATTATGAAAAAAAAATTTCATAAACAATATTTTGTCGCAAAAAAATGTATAAACCATCGATAGAGAACAAGCGTTTTTATACAAAAAAAAAATAGTACATATTAAAACTCTTTTGATAAGAGAAAAGCAAAAAAAGAAATATTTGGAAACCAATAGAAAAAATTAGCTACTTAGTAGTTTTGTTTAAATATCTGTTGTACATAAAATACCTTCCACTTTTTCTGCTTCCCAGAAAATATCTTATACAAATCTTTGATGTAAAAAATTGATTCGCTTAAGTAAATATACATACATAAACACAAAATTAAAAATATGTGCATATGTATAAATACAATAAAAGTTGGCTCTTTATTTCCGGGCTGGGACGTATCCCGTCGTGCCGGGCCGGGCCCCACTAAAATTCTTAACGTGCGGGCTCGTGCGTGTTTTTGAAAGTTGATTTTGCACTCGTGCCGGGCCGGGCTTGAAAATTTAGTCCCGTGCCCATCTCTACATGGAATTGCGGTTACAAGAAGTGGTGTTGTTGTTGTAGCAGCATACAAATTCCCCAAAGACTTTTTGGGGAGTGTTGCTGGAGTGACAGTCCTTGGCCAGATATAAATCTGGGTCGTTCCGGTTACGTAGACCCGACTGTCGTGGGAACGACAAGAAGTGGTGTTATTATTTGGTAACACAATTTTCCGGTGTCAAAATGTTCAATAACAAGCAGAATAGGCCTGTACCAAATCCATACTGTCATTGGTGTGAGTTACAACAAACACATCATTCTGACGTAATGCCATCCACGGCGAAAAACTGAGCTGTCGCCCCAACACCACCTTGTTTAATACACCTTGGCCGAAGACGACCTCTGGCAGTCTTTAGCTCTGATCCAGTACTTCATGAACCTATATGATATCACACGAATTTGCAGGAAGTTACAGAAAAAAAATTTATATTATTTATATATCCGTAGTGTTTTTTCTTAATATTTGCAATGTTTTTCATAATAAATTTTGTTCGTTAATTTTTACAGAAATATTTACCCCCGCTCTGGTTGTCGTAAGTCGTTCGCATCGACAGTCGTTCGTTGAATTATGTCGTAAATAAAAACCTTAATGACAGATATTAACACGTTTCAATACTTCTTCATTTCGATCGAAAGAATAGGAATACAAATTTGTAGTAGATTATGTCATTGGTTTCCTCATAACGCCAATGAAAATCTCAAATTTCGACGAACGACTGTCGTTCCGACAATCGGAATATGGGTGATTGTTCATTCTGCATCAAATGGCGTATAAGTTAATGTTTCAAAGTATTTACTACGATAATTGTTATATTTTATAAAATATAAATGATCGTTTCTTCTACATATAACAGAAAGGAATATCAAGGTATAAGCATGAAAACGTCAAATCCCTCATTTACTAAAAGCCTGACACATTTCAAATCGACCATGCAGGAGTTGCACATGAATTTTCTAAATAAGTAATGTGAAGTGGGATATAACAAGTGCTTTTGTATAATTCGCACAAAAAACACATTTCCTCAGTTGTGACAGTCTTTTAGTAAAGAGCCGACGATACCTGTTTTTTTAATGAAAAACGAGATACAATAAACAAATTTTTTACGATAAATAAATTTTAAACTCTTAGGTGCCAGAAAAAAAATCATAAAAAAACATGTGGGTAATTTGAATTAATGCAAGAAGAAAAATAGCGACCCAGTCTGGTGGTACATGTGTATATCCATAACCATGTCGGTAATGCCAATATTGATATCCTCATGCCGAATTTCAATTAGGCATTGATATTACAAAAAAGAAATTGGTAAAATGTGCCATGTAAAAACAAATCTAATGGCTAAGGACACAGTAAAAAATGAAAAACGTATCGTTCTAATTAATGAGCTAAAAATCAAACCGGCAACGAAACCACTTCAAATATCGTACATGCCAAAAATGTAAGCAACAAAACGAAAAACCAAACATATTGCTTTTAGTAGGGCAATCTCAAACCTGTGCGCCAAATTGACACTCAGCCGCGTGTGCGACATCCTGGCTTGTACCTGCTGCCTCTTGCTGCGTGATATGAATATTATCTGTATATTTTGCCATTTTCAACTCGCAATTTTCGCTAATTGGATAGGGACATTGTTTGGTCATCATATTGAAGTCCCCCCTTGCCATGTCATAGCTTGTTGTGAAGATTTTATTACCAGGTGCCATTGGAGTATAGGTAGAGTTAGGTGCGACCTTTGCATCAAATTGTTCGCTTACGGTCTGACGTTTGCAATTTCCGAACAAATCTCGTTGTGGCAGCATACGTGGAATCATATCAAATGGGCGACTACGATTAAGCGAACTTGTTGTTGTGGCACACGATTTCACATTGCTGCCACCGAAATCGTATATTTCTTCTTGTAATGGTTCCGCCTCCATCGAGCTTTTCATTTGATTACGATATGTGCGATATGAAATATTTCGTTCTAAGCTATTTGATTCTCTTCTCTCTTCTCTTTCTAAACTACTACTACGTTGGACCCAATCGTGCATTAAATTATTTGAAATAGAAATCGATTGGTTACGTTCAAGACTACCACCCTTCGATTGCATTGACTTCACTGCGCCAATAACAAAAGTGTCTTGATTTCTTTCTAAACTACCATACGAATTTGGATTGTTGCATCTTCGTAACAACTCAGATTTAGAAATCTTTGGATCTGTTGGCATGCGTTGAAAATCGTAGATATTTGCTTGTGGATTATATAAAACAAAATTATTTTGCATTTGGGGTCTTTGGCCGCGTAAACTATTTGAATTTTCGGGACGCATGGCCTTAAGAAAAGTGCATTTTATATCTAAACAACTACAATGCATGGTACGGGGCAAAGATTCTGTTGTTTGACTAACTGCAGCACCACCAGCTGAATGGCTAAGCGGCGGCGCGAAACTTTGCTCATTAACAATCGGATCTAATTTCAACAGTTCGGATGCTGGTAATTTGGTCATTTTTAATGGCACATCTGTACTATTTGGGACTTTTGTTGATTTAGATTCATCTATCTCTACAGCTAATGTATTAAATACCGATGCTGGTGTTGTATAAGCTGCTGGATTAATGCTGCGATTTTCGTTTTCCATCATTAGCCTGGCTAAAACTTCGGGATTTTGAGCAATAATGTACGTTTGTGGGCTCAGCTGGTTCTTTTCGCTTACTATGGATGACTGCAGTGCGGTATCTACGAAAGTGAAAAGAAAAGATTTGAATTAAAAAGTTAGTGCGCAAGACCCATGCTACAAGTGAAAATTGCTTAGATACATTCCTTCTATCTTTCTAAAAGGCAGCTTTACTTTACTGCTTACATTATAAAACGGACCTAACACTTTAAAGTGCGTTATAAGTATTTTCGTTTTCTTATCTTAACGGTAAAAATAAATTTATTATTCCGAAATTACGGCAACCCGAAAGTGACACTTTACTACATTCGTCGTAAAATTTCAAAGGTTGGCAATGCAACATAAGCAAATAAATAGCAAGAGCAACTGTTAGCAAAAACAAAAACCTTGGTTGAAATAGGTTTGTTCCACACGCTTTCCGGGCTGATTCGGTAATTAGAGCGTAAAAATAAGTTACTCTCTCACAAGTGTCAAAAATGTGTCAACCCGTGCCAAAAGTGCCCGGAGCGTGAGGAATGCAAAAAACAACTTTCCCTGCCCGGAATCAACAAATCAGTTCTAAAAAATGATTTTATGTGTATTTATTTTATATAGGTAATATAATTAGCAAATACC